TTCGTTAAGTGTACATCAGAGAAATATCAGTATTTAACGCATAAGAAAAGTAGATTAAAAGAAAAAATAACATGTGAATAATTCAAGGCCCTATTTTCTCTCATTTTTGTTTGAATGAATAGAACAGATGAAAAGTGATTGAATTGCTTCAATAACGATTTCTTGAGGAAACTGAATTTCATATTATAATAAATTGATCGATTAATTTATTTTTAATGTTTTAAACATTTTATATTTTATTTCAGAATTTTACGATAAACTCGAATGGGTTTATGATAAACTACCACGAAACTACATGAAAATAATTGTAGGTGACGCGAACGCAAAGGTAGGAAGGGAAGAAGTTTATATTCCGACGATTGGTAAAGAAAGTTTGCACGAATATAGTAATGATAATGGGATCCGTCTGATAAACTTTGCCATCTCGAAAAACCTGATAATTAAAAGTACGACGTTTAAACATAAGGATATTCATAAATATACTTGGACATCACCGGATTCGCAAACACGAAATCAAATCGATCATGTCTTGATACAACACAGCTGGCAAAGTAGTATAATTAATGTACGGTCTTATCGCGGAGCAGAATGTGGGTCGGATCATGAATTAGTAATCGCGAAACTTCGACAAAAACTTAATATAAAAAAGAGAAAAGAAAACCGTTTCGATTTTGAGAATTTTAATTTGGAAAAATTAAAAAATCCATCAATTAGAAACCAATTCGAGCTAGATGTTAAGAATAGGTTTGAAGCTTTAGAGCTTCCTGACGAGGACCACGAGGATATTGACAAGTTATGGATAGAGATCAGAGATAATATTAAAGCGGTCGGTAACTCGTGTCTAGGAAAAAAGGAAAATAAGAATAACAAACCGTGGTTTGATGAAGATTGCTTAAACATGTGTGAAAAAAGAAAAGCCGCTAAATTAAAAGCTCTAAATAATCCTAGCGAAGACAATCTGGAATACTTCCGAATCTCAAAGAACGAAACGACAAAATTGCTCAAAAATAAAAAAAGGGAGTATCTTAAAAATAAAATAATTGAAATAGAAACTAATAGAATCGAAAATAACGTAAGAGACATGTACAAAGGTATAAACAGATCACGTAAATATGTAGGGCCCGTAACGTCTGGAATTAGGGATGATAATAACAATATTCTGACCGATCCGGTTGACATATTGAATAAGTTTAAGGACCACTTTGACAATATTTTAAATACGGGAAATTATGATCTGTGTCCTCCTTCTGAGTACCAGAGTGCTGAACCGTTAATAGAAGGACCAATAAAGAGGAAGTTGAAGTAGCTATCGGAAAATTAAAATCATATAAAGCAGCGGGAATCGATAATATTCCTACTGAACTAATTAAGGCATGCGGAGAAGCTGGAGTTTCTAAAATACATCGGTTGGTTAAAAAGATCTGGGTGAACGAGAAATTACCTGAAGAATGGAAAGAATCTATTCTTATTCCGATTCACAAAAAGGGTCCGAGGACGGATTGTAATAACTATCGAGGAATTTCACTCCTTCCGGTATGTTATAAAATATTCACTTTAATCTTAACCAGTCGAATCACGGAATACGCCGAGGAAATTATCGGAGACTACCAATGCGGATTTAGACGGAATCGTTCGACTATTGATCAAATATTTTCTTTACGGCAAATATTAGAGAAAAAATTGGAGTATAACGGTATTGTTCACCAGCTGTATATAGATTTTAAAAAGGCTTACGATTCTATTGACCGCCAGAAACTGTATAATATTCTAATCGAGCAGGGGATTCCAAAAAAACTAGTAAATCTAGTCAGGATGTGCTTGACGGAGACACTCAATAAAGTTAGAATCGGTAATAATTTGTCCGAAAAATTTGAGGTTCGTTCGGGCTTAAAACAGGGGATTCTCTTTCGCCTGTCCTGTTCAATTTGGCATTAGAACATGCCATTAGGGAGGTAATGCGAACCGAGAAAGGGTTGGATCTGGGCGGGACAACATCCGTGCTGGGCTATGCTGATGATCTGGTACTGTTAAGCGAAGACGTTGAAACTATAAAACTAAATACGACAACGTTAATGAAAGGGAAAGAACTAGGACTCGAAATAAACGTGGATAAAACAAAATATATGGTTAGCTGCAAAAATGGCGATACTACTGGTATCGATATAGATGGTAATATGTTTGAACAGGTAGATAAATTTAGGTATCTAGGTTCTACGATAACTAGAAAAAACGAAATTGAAGAAGAGATTAAGGTTAGACTGAAGGCGGGGAATGCTTGTTATTTTTCTGTGACAAAACTACTTAGTTCGCGCCTCTTGTCCCGAAACTTAAAAATTAGAATCTATAAAACAATTATCTTACCTACAGTTCTTTATGGATGCGAAACTTGGCCGCTTACATTAAGGGATGAGCAGCGTCTTAAGGTTTTTGAAAATAAAGTATTGCGTAGAATATTCGGACCGAAAAGGATGAGTTAACCGGAGAGTTCAGACGGTTACACAACGCCGAATTGCGTGAGATGTATCCGGGTAATATAATTGAGGTAATTTCATCGCGGCGAATCAAATGGGCTTGTAAAGTTGTTGGGCTTAGTAACGAGAGAATTCCTAAAAGGTTAATATTTGCTGTGCCGAATGGTAAGCGTCCGAGGGGTAGACCGAAGCGAAGATGGGAGATTGCATTAAAGCCGATCTGAAGGGACTGGGTTTGGACGGCGAACGGTGGAGGGAGGTGTGTAACAAGCGATTGGTGGTGTCGGCATCGAACCTTCGGGTTCGCTAAGCCTTATTATTATTATTATTATATTTTATTTCAGAATTAACTTTATCGAAATGGCAGGTTTGTGAGGAAAGAGTTAATACCATAAAAAAAGCACTTCTCTAAAGGAACCCTTGCTCAGTGTACAATGTTGGGGGGGCCCGGTACATGCTGTATGACCGGGAGCCCTGTTTTTGTGATATATAAAAAAATAAATGTTCGTTAGCAGAATAATTGTGAATGATGCTACCAACTGTTTGTTAATAATCGCTGTATTTATGTTTTCCGAACAATGTGAAGGGGCAACCTGTGTCAACCTGTGGTCCACCTTCTCTCTTTCTATCCGCCGCTCGTCCAAAGTCTTGGAGCTGGTGTAGCCGAAGAGCTGTAACTCTCTTGTTAGCTGTCTTTCTTTAAGTCGGCTGAGCAAGAAGGCCGTAAGCCGTCTGGTTCTGTATTTCGTCCGCTAGCATCTGACGTTGGCCGTAGATGAGGCCGTCTTCGAGAGGGAGTAGGACAAGATGAGACCGGGAGCCGCCGCCGTGTCATTATTTCAAAGCAAATAATAAATATGTGGTATATAATACCAAGTGATATATAATGATATACAAAAAATATGGATGTAATTCCAACACTAAGTTTTTCAGTCATGTTATTTGTCTGATCCTGGATCATTCCTGAACAATAAATGCCAGGTTTTTTATCTGACCATTCAGAATACTCGTACTGAGCGTGTGATCTATTATCACCAACTAAATAAACAGACAAATTTTTGATCCTCTAAATTCAATTTGAAGAGACTGCAGGGATGCACAAAATTATTACAAGGGCGTAAAAAGTGCTACTTTCCATCTACTCCAGAAGATTTCAATTATCAACCTTTGTATTGCTAAAATTATAATTGGTTTTAAAAAGTTAATTGAAAAATTAAACTTTAAATATTTTGTTTACGTTATGCAGTTCTAAGCAATGAAACATAAAATGGCAACCAATCAGAATTCAATATGGGAAAAAATTCATTTCTTGATTATTAAGGATAAACATTTCAATGAATTCGTTTAAGTAATTTACAAATATTTAATATAAAATGAAAATCATTTATAGACTTTTATAAATAATATTTCTACAACCAATTTTTACTAGTAAGGAATAAATGTTTTTACTCTCCTTTTGTTTTCTTGCATTGTTTATGTTCTAAGCTTGGACAAAACCAATGTGATTCATAACTCCTGTACTAGACATGGATTATTTAAAAAAAAAAATGTACAACTTAATTCATACAAATATTTTGAGATTACAAAGTGATATTGGAGTTTACTTCTGCTCTATAGATATAAAACCCAGGAAGGTGTTTAATGTTAATGTATCCTTCAGTACTTAGGAATTACCAAACTTGTAGGTAAACAATTGAGAAAATAATTCGTGTTAAGCACTTTAATAGAACACAAGGAAAACACAGAAAATTATGACAACAAAAATTAACAACTCAAAGTAACTTGAAAAAACATGTATTGGTATTAAACAGTAAGGTTACAAAATGGTTAATAATTATTTATAAAATAAATGCGTCTGGATCACACTCGCCCACCAGAGAAAACCCCGGAAGACTATATTATTATCATTTGGCAGGCGAAACCAAGCATTAAGATTGTTGCGTCTTTTTCCTAGAAGCTGTTCTGCGGACATTAAGTTAGTTTGAGATTCTCGTTGATACTGAACCTCATCTGACACCTCGCGATTATTCATATTAGATGCAGATCTCAGAAGAAACGCGAGCTTGAGCCTGTCGATCGTAACTGTTTTTTTCCCTTTATTTCACTGAGATGGAAGTCCTGAATAAGATAGTTGCATCTTAGAATGAAAAGACTCCCGACGCAGAACAACGTGAGAACAAATTAAAAGATGTTGTGACATGAAGGGTTTCTGTGTCCCATTCCTTGAGGGTTAAACAGGTTGCAAATCGTTTATGATTCTCTGAAGGAGCGGAAGAAAATAAGATTGATCAATTGCAGGTTGATTTGCAAGAAATTCACCAGGGAGAGCAAGTGGGGCACCATAAACCAATTCTGCAGCTGAACAACCTATGTATTCTTTCAAAGCAGTGCGAATACCTTATTAGTCCAGAAGTAAGGCATTGACCCATGTAAAATATTTCAACTAATGGCATTTTAAGGCGGTCTTCATTGTTCTATGTTGGCGCTCGATCAGTCCGTTAGATTGTGGATGATAAGCACAAGCAGCAGCTAGACGAAATCCGAAATACGTTCCAAGAGATCGGAATAATTTGCTTTCGAATTATTAATTGGTAAGTAGAGATTTGGGCAGAAACGCCAAACTGAGGGATCCAGAACGTCACTAACTAATGCTTGAGCTACAGACGAAGCAGTTTGATCTGGCATTGGCGTAGCTTCTAAGCACGGAGAGAATCGGCCTACTATTGTGAGAACGTAGCGAAAACATTTGCATGGTGGTAAGGGCCTAACAATATCCACATTTATGCTTCTAAAATGCTTATTGGGAACAAGAAATCCTGTTAGAGGAGAACGAGTATGTGGTTGGATTTCGCAATATTGGCATTCCAAACAGGCTTGAGTCCAATTGTTGCAATCTTTTTTGACATTTGGCCAAATATAGCGACTAGTTACCATTTTAGTAATGTTTTTAATGCCAGGGTGAGACAATCCATGAATGGTTGAAAAAGCCACATTTCGAAAATAATGAGGTAAATAAGCATGGGTTTTCCTTGTAGAAGTATCGCACAATAACAAACAAGTTTGGTGATTCGGGAATATCAATCGGTATAAATTTAAGGCTGGGATTGTGCATGAGCTTTTCCAATTCATTGTCGGTCAGTTGAGCTTCTGCAACATCATCAACATTCATGGGGCTGGCTGAGTCGATTCCAAGCGGGACATCGAGTCTGCTACCACATTATCTTCGCTCTTTATACATCGAATATCAGTAGTGTATTCAGCTTTGTTGTTGAGCAGTCTTTTTTGCCTTGGAGAGGTCCTGTTTAAAATCCAAAATAAGAGGCTTGTGATGAGCGAGAACAGCAAACTGAAGTTCTTCTAAGAGATATTTAAAATGTTTGATAGCGCTGTAAATTGCTAGTAAATCCCGATCTTAGGCACTGTATTTTATCTGAGCAGGTGTAAGTGCTCTTGAGAAAAACCTGAGTGGTTTTTAGATTCCATCTATTTGTTGATGACAACACCCATTGCTATTTCAGAAGCATCTGTAGTCAAAGGGAGTTCGGCTCCTGGAGGTGGGTGCGTCAGCAAGGTTGTGTTACTCAGGGACTATTTCAATTTACTAAAGGATAATTTTCCAGCTTCTGTCCAGGATAACGGCTTAGAACAATTCTTTTTGTGATCGCTTAAAATGTGAGTTAAAGGTTTTTGAAGGCAAGCGCAATCAGGTATAAATCTATTGTAAAAGTTTACCATTCCCAAAAAGCGTCGTAGGCTTGTGGCTGATTTGGGTTCAGTATAATCTTCAGCTGGAAGACTTTTATCTTAGCCTAGACTTTTTCTTAGCTGGGAGAGGCCTGATTCCTCCAGTAGGGTTAATTTCGTATCCTAGAAACTCTAATAAGTTTACTCCAAGTGAGCATTTGGAAACGTTGATGCATAGGCCGTAGTAGTCCAGGTGTTCGAATAAGATTTTCAAATGCTTCTCGTGAGTTGTCATCAGGTGATGCTACAAGTATATTATCGATATAGCAAAAAAACAAAATCTAAACCATCAAGTACCTTGTTCATGAACCGTTGAAAGCTTTGTGGTGCATTTCCAAGGCCGAACGTCATGAAAGGATATTCAAAAAGACCAAACGGGGTTATTATAACGTTTTTTCTATGTCTGGTTCATGAACTGCGATTTGTTGAAAAGCACTGACTAAGTCTATGCGTGAAAAGATATTAGTTTCTTTTAATATGTGTGTGCAATCCGTTAGAATAGATAATGGATACCTATCAGGAACAGTGATTTGGTTGATTTTCTTATAATCTCCTCATGGTCTCCAATCGCCGTTCTTTTTCTTAACGAGATGAAGTGGACTAGTCCAAGAGCTTTTAGAAGGTCTACACAAACCTTGTTGTAACATGAAGTTGAATTCCTGTTAGGCTGCTTGAGGTTTATCAGGTGGGCAAGTCCTCTAGTCTCTGTAAAATAATGTCCGTTCAATCAACAATTTGACCCATATCATTCATTATTGTCTAACTATCCTGGCTTGACCAGGCCAAATACATTGAACATAAAATTAAGTTGTGTTCCCTTAATTTTATGTTCAATGTATTGCCTCGTCAAGCCAGGATAGTTAGACAATAATGAATGATATGGGTCAAATTGTTGATTGAACGGACAGAATTAGATTCACACCGAATATTAATGGGAGATGAAGATATCAGAGTCGCATTGTCAATGAGTTTATTGTTTTTTGTATCAATAGGTTATAGTGCGATAAAAAATCAATACCTATTATTGGTTTGTTCAATTCGGCTATAATAAACGGCCATTCAAAAGACCTTCTATGGCCTAGGTCTAAATTAGGAATCTCTGACCATATGTTTTAATTTGGGTACCATTGGCAGCAAAGAGTTCAAATTTAGCTACGTTGTTTCTGACAAAATTTTGAGGTGGAATTACGAAAATGTCTGTCCCTATGTCTATTAGAAATAAAGAATAACTAGGTATTTCACATATAAAAAGGCGACTTATTTCGGCCGTGTACTTGTTTACATCATAACTAATAAAAACATATGTTGTTTTTAAAACAATATGATTTAGACAATTAAATTGCAACAGAAAATCTGGACTAATTTACACTCCCCTAAAACACCCAAAATATCAGATTTAGAATATGCTACAACCTGATAGCAATTTTTGAGTTTCACTGGTGGCAGATAATATATCGGAATCAATTGAACTTATGATTATGTCGAATTTTGTTTGGCCACATGTTATTTTTTCCATTCTAAACTGATCCTCTAATTGAATAAACCATATTTTGAGATTAGGCTTCCAAAAAGATGGTATTTTAAGAAATAAATGGGATACCTCTGATAGGGGTGCTGCAATAATTTAATTTTCCTTTGAGACTTCCTGGTTGACTTGGGACATGAGCAGGGTCACCGATTTAGTTAAACAAATTAGAAAATAATTCTTTTAACCACTTTAATAGAACACAAGGAAAACACAGAAAAATATAACAAAAATCAACCACTAAACTAATTTGAAAAAACATGTGTTGGTATTAAAAAGTAAGGTTACAAAATGGTTACTAATTATTTATAAAATAAATGTGTCTGCTTCCCACTATTTACAAAGTGTGTTCAATTTCATTGTTTTTTTTTCTGAAGAATTAATTATAACAATTATATTATATAGACCAAATTGACTTAAGATTTGATGAAATAATTGTATTTATATTTGTTTTTCTTTTATAGATTAAAAAATATGACAGCAGTTCAGGTCATTGGATTTGTGTCTGCTTATTGTAAATGTATTTTCCAATAAAGAAAGAAGTCAGTTTTGCCTTTCAGCAGAACACCTATAGCTATAACTAAAGAAAATATTGATTTAATAGAGCCCCATTTGTTTTTTTCATTAAATTCAAATAAAAGTTTTACTTTTTAGAAAATATGCTTTAAATTTTATAAATATAATTTTACTTACTGAAGTTTTGAAATTTAATTTTTGTAGATTTAATTGAAATATCTTTCACATCTTAGCTTGGACCACTCAATTTTCTATTTTCAATTTTATTCGTCAATGAACATTAGATTACAACCAGGACCCGTATTTTTATGCAGTACTTTTATATATAGGCAGTACTTTTATACTTTTCATGTATAGACAAGTGAAATTAATAGGAATTCAAGTTTTGTCTACTACAAATTTATGTAATATGAAATTTATGAAAAAATAATGCATAATACAAAATTATCTAAGTAATTAGTGGTCTTGGTCAGGGTGAGATCCTAGATTTAATAGTTAGATACCTTTTGGGACCATTCAATCAAATGAAGAAATAAAAAAAATAGAAAAAGGATTAATCAGGTAGTTAAAACACATTTCTGATTGCACTGTCTTTCAAGAATATTTTTGGCACAAATAGTGTCTTTGCTCCAGACCTTTATGGAATGTTTCCTTTTATTTCAAACATGTAAAATTAATTGATACATTGAAATAATGAAAAAGCTCAGAATAAATTTCATTCAAAATTCTGTTTTTTAATATACTTTTTAATGTTCTTACCACTTCTGTTTGCTGATGTATTATTGGTCACAAAAAAAATACAGAGTTGATGAGGGTTTGTCATGAAAAGACTTACCTTCTTTATACAGTTGTTTTCTTAATCGAATGTGTTTTACTAACTGACCTAAAACCATAATTATCATCTTTATAATCAGTTAAAGTTTGATTGTTTTGATGTTTTAATGCCTAATCAAAAAAATTATAGTACAAGTTTGTAAAGCAACCTATTTCTAGCATCCTATAAAAAAATATTAAGCCAAGATATATATATATATCATGTTATTCATATAAAAAATGTTTATAAATGATAGTAGGGGTATGTAGATTTAGGGAAACATAATATAATAAAAAAATAATGTTATATTAAACAAAAATAATGAATATTAAAAAAATTGACTTGTTATATGATAATTATGTATTTTTCATTAAACTTACAATCGTAGGAAATGATAATACTTTATCAGTTCTCACATTATCGTTCTCTATGGCAGTGGTTCTCAAACTGGTTATGACACCATGGTATGATTTCAATATTTAATATGTAAGGTAAAAATTGTCAATTCGGTCAATAAACATTCTACAAATTCATAAATTAATAATTATTAGTAATAAAATTTTAAAAAATCAATGAAATTTAAGATTATATATAGACAAACTTTTATTTGATTTATATATATATATATATATATATATTAGAACAGAAATGGGTGAACATTCAATTATATCCCTGCTTTGAGGATAATTGTGTGATGAAATATTTTAAGTCATCAACATTTTTTTTTTAATTTGACAGGGGTACTATAAAATATTTTAACCTGAGAAGGGTGCAGTGGCAAACAAAATTTGTGGACCACTCCTCTAAGGCAATAAAGATATTAGCAGTATTCTCATTTAATTTAATTTATGGTAGTAGAATGAACATGAAGGATGTTCTGCTCAGTTAGAAGAGGCTTCCTCAAACGAAAAGAGGTAACCAAGTAAACGAAAATGGCAATCAACAGATCAGTATTATTCCTTCCAATACTGACCTATCTTCTGAGCCTGGACATTCACTTCAAAACACAGAAGCAAGATTCAGACTCTAGAGATTCAATACCTGAGAAAGGTGGAAGAAAAGACTAGGTGGGACAGGATTCGCAATACAGTCGTCCAAGCCAATCTCAAGTCATAGTGGTTGAAACCATTATAGAGGAATATAAGTTATGATGGTTTGGGAACCTTCACCGCATGGATAGGAGCAGAATCGCAAGGAAGACTTATGAGACGCGCAGAGGAAACGACCGAAAGAAAGACTCTGAGAAGAAGGCATACGAGATGTGTTCCAGAAGCAAGGACTGGAACGGAAAAGGAGGCGAGAGTTAGTGTGGAAAAGGTACTTTTGGTCTAAGTT